ACTGCATGTATATTTAAGTGTATAAGATAGATAATGATATCACTGAGTTTTATTGGATATTTGAACAGAACTGTTTGAAGTCTCACTGTTGGAATGTCCACTTTACATGATATAATTTTTTGACTTGAACAATTATTTTTAAGATGACAATATGTAATCCATTAACTAGTGATTTCCTACTGTTTATTTTTTTCTGTAAATCTGTATAACTTGTACCCTTTTTCTGTTTTTTTTTTCTCCTTAAATAAAATTTTAAAAAATGCAAATATTTAAAAGATGTGTGAAGTGGTAGTTAAGAACAAAAGAAGTTGGGCATGGTGGCACACACCTGCAATGCCACCACATGGGAGACTGAGGCACACATTGGAGACCAGGCTGAGCTGCACAGTAAGTGAGTTCAAGGTCAGCCTAGAATATATAGCAGTACTCTGCCTCAAAACAAACAAACAAACAAACACATTATAAAGATTTAGAGTGTTGGAAAAGACAACTCTAAGGCAATAATATCTCAGATAAGCCCTGAGGTGCAGAGAAGTTGGCCTTGCCCAGAACCACGGAAAGAGAATTTTCAGAAGAAACTACACATGCAAAGCACTCAAACAAGAGAAAAGCTTGGTGTGCAATGTCAGTAGTTCACTGTGCCTGGAACTGTGTCATGAGCTGAGCCTGGAGACTTAGGCCAGAGTTGTCTCAAACAGAGGATCCAGAGGAGAAATTTCATTCTAAGTCCATTTGGAGCTCACTGCATCCTGGAGAGGCTGCAGTGTGATCTGATTTTTATTTTCTGAAGATGACATTGGCTGAACATCAGGGTCTTCTTCAAATGAAAATTGTAACCACGTTTCAGTCTGTGGGGAGACAGAAGAGCCAGGAAAGAAAGAATAAGAGATGAGACTTACAGCTGAAGAGCATGGGATGAAGGCACCTCTGCCTGCCTTCTTTCCCAAGACTTCATTGAAGTTTTAGAAAAAAGACTGTATGTTTATGATTAAGAATGCGGAACTGCTGGGGGTGGTGGTGTACACCCGTGATCCCAGCACTTGGGAACAACTAAGCTCAAGGTGAAACTAAACTATATAGCAAGAGAAGAAAACAAGAAAAAAGAAACAGATACAAGAAATACAGAAACAGTGGACTACAGGTTTAAAATGGGTACAGATTTGTGGAACAATCAGAGGAGGAAAGAATAATAGTCTTAAATTTCCCAGAAGTGCGAGTGACAATACCGAAGTACTAGAAATTTTGACAGATGTCACTGGCATAGTGAAGAATTACCTTTCATCTTGAACAAATTTTGAATGTTCTATGAGGCATTCATGTAAGTTAAAAATTGATTTATAATTTCTAAGTTCAGAATTAAATCTTATTTTACGTGTAAATATGGAGTCTATTTATACAATTTTTATAAAATAGAATTTATATAATCTTATGTAGTTAGATTTTTCCTTTATTATTTGGAACTTTTAACCCGAGAGTCATTCATATTTTCAAAGTGTTACGGCAGTATGGTGGTGGCGTGGTGCACATCTGTGATCCCAGTACTCTGGGAGTGAGGCAGGAGCATTGTAAGTTTGAGCACAGCTTGGGCAAGTTAACAGTTTAGTGAGATTCTGTCTTGAAAGATTTATTTTGGTGTCATTGTTGTCATTGCCATTGTTGGTGTCATGCACTGCGCATGTAGCTCAGTGCAAAAGCTCTGAGTTTAATTTGGATTATTGCAAAAACCAAGAAAGGAAGCAAGCAAGCAAACAAACAAACAGTTCTCTGGCATTTCCAACTTCACGTAAATGTCATAACTTCTTTTGGCAGTACTTGGGACTAAACACAGAGCCTTTGCATTGAGCTGCATCCCCAGCCCTCTTTGATATTAATTTTGAGACAGACTCTGTCTAAGTCACTAAACTTCCCAGGATGAGCTCGAGTATGTGAGCCCACTGCTTCAGCCTCCCAGACTGCAGGGATTACAGATGTGAATCACTAGGACTGGTTTCACTGTAGTTCATTTGCAGATGATAAATCCACAGTGATTCCAGTACAAGTGGAGTCCAAGGTATGAGTACATTATTTCAGCTTGGGAAGACATACTCAAGATTTTCATGTGAATTCTTGTATTGTAAACTTTTAAAAATAACGATTTCTGCTGATTTGTAAATTATAAATGAGGGTATGCTGCACCAAACTTATAGATTGTTGGAGAGTTTCCTAAAATCTTTAACCCAAGCACACATCTAGGAGGGTATAATTAGCTTTCACTCTTATATAAGGGGGAGACAAGACAGGGCAGTCTAAATCATTTTCGTTAACAATTGTTGTAAATTTTAAAATTTGTAGTACAACAGAAAAATGAAAGAGGATTATCAGGCACAAAATCACAAAGTGATAAAGCAGACTAAAAACACCTATCTTCTGAGAATACAGACACGGAGGCCAGCAGAGAACTTGAAAAAATTCCAACTAGTATTCTCATAAAGGACCAAGAAGTTATTGAAATCTGTGTTAACAAGGGTATGTGCTATTTAAAAACATATAGACATTGCTCTTGAAAATTAACAGAATGACTGGAAAGTCAAAGTAAATCAGTTTCCTGAAAATAAACAGAATCCCAATTTGGTAAGCTAACAGGGAGCCCAGAATCTTCCAGAATACAGCAAAATAATATATAGAAACAAAAGAAACATGAAGATAAGTCAAAGATCAAAGTTTAAATCCATCTCATAGGAAATACAGGAGAGCATAACTGAGAGACAATGAGTGGGAAAAATAATTTTAAAAATACAATATGAGGAAATGTGATTTAAGACTAGCCCAGGGCCAAAGAGAATCCCTAGATTGAAACAGTTTTCCAAAAATTAGTTTGATTTTAAAAAAAATAAGAAATCCCAGCTAAATATATTGTGATAGAATTTCAGTGCTCCAAAGATAAAGAAAAAAAAATCTAAACTCTGCCAAAAAGAAAAGACATTTTAGGTATAAAGGAATGAAAGAAGCTGAGCTTCCTGAAGCAGATGATCCTGAGCTGAATTCCTAGCTGCCTAATTTACTACTTGGATGACCTGGCATAAGTTGCTCACTGTCTCTTTGCTTATATTCTCTTGCTAGAACATTCACATTTATTTTAGTAAAAAGACTGAGAAGAGATTTCATTAGAAATTTAGAATAATGTGAGTATGCTAGGCTTGCTGTCAAAAGAAAGTGTGTATTTTGATACAGTCTTTCTCACCCTTTTGTTTTCTGTTCCTCCCCCCTCTCTCTTCCCTCTCTCTTCTTTTTTCTTTCTTTTCTCTTTCTTCCTTTCCTCTCTGTCCCCCTCCTGTCCTCAAGACTGAATCCTTAACCTTTGCACAGAACTGTATTCCCTGCTCTTTTCGGTTTTAATTTTTATTTTGAGGCAGCTCTTTTTGTTTCTAACTTTCACAAACTGGGCTCAAAGCTGTGATCCCACTGCACCAGCCTCCTCCAATGCTTTCACCATGCTTTTCTCATAACCTACTTTTAAAAGCATATTTGAACATTGCTAAAGCTGATTTAAAGTTGGTTCTTCTTACTCTGCGATCAGTACTGAATGCTCTATGTGGTGGATTAATGGTCAGCTTGTAACACCCAGCTGAATTGAATCACTGTGGCTCAGGATGTGGGAGGCCCACTTGAGGATTGTTGCTAATGGCATAAAAGGGGAATGGAGGGGAAGATGGTGCTCTGTTGGATTCTCCTGGAGAACCTCATTGTGCTGATTTTCTTGATGATGAACTCAGCTGTTTCTCATCCTCACAGGAGCTCAGGTCCTCGCTGTCACTGAGGATGGCTGTGATTCTCCTTGTGGGAACGCTGGTCCTTACTTTGCGTGTTGCTTCTCGGCTACAGTAAGGATCCTACTGGCACAGATCCTTCACCTGTCTGTCACAAACTTTCTAGCATCCATCATTGGCCTTTGGGCCTTTCCAGTGTAGATCCTTGGGACACACTTGCATTAACTATTGTTGTGGGCTCTAGACCTCCAGCTGGACTTGCACAGGACATTGCCGGGGGATCCAGGCCTCAGCTGTATTCTTTAGGTCTCTAGTACATGGATCTTTTTGAGTGAATATTATGAAATAATCCTATAAATTGTGTTCTGTATTAAATTTGTTCTCTTGTAATCCCTGACTACAACACTCTGATGCATGACCAATGTCTTTAATGCTCTTAATAGTCTACTATAGGCAAGTTTTATTGGTAAAGAATACATTTCTTACTGTTTGGATCTGATCACAAACCTAAACCCATAATGAGGAATGCTCAATGTTGGTTTATATCTTTCAATTTTTAGATACAATATATAGACAAATAAAAGTGAGCATTTTTCATAGAAAACAATTAAACGGTTTGAACAACTACAATCTAAATGTCCTTAGATCTTAACCTTTAAATAACCAATCAATTTGGGAATTTAAAAGAAGAATGGTAGGAAAAGAATTAAATACATTATTTGTGTCATTTTTGGGAAAAAAATCAGGGACTCCAGAAGCAGCATCCAAAGATAATGTTCCAGGCTGGAAGTTTTTGCCTCAAATTCCTTTGTTAAGCCCTAAACCTTAATGTAAGCAAAGAAAAAAAAAATCATGAGCAATGAGTTTTCTGACTTGGGCAAGTTGCAAAATATGGATTAATAACATAATCTAGAGATAAACTGCCTCTGTTGGCATGATTATGGATACAAAAAAAATATACACCCTGTCTCACCTCCCTCCATCTCTGCACCCCTCCCACGAGCTATTTTTCCATTTAAGTCTCTTGTACAACCATATTTCTTGGTGACTTTTACTGTTTTTTATCTTTCTTTTTCCAGCTTGCTTCAGGTGATCACATCAGCTTTGCTGTATTTGTTCAAGAGTCTAGAAAATTCTCCTAAAGGGTGTGTTCACACACTGCATTTTCATTGGTCTCCCAAATCAAGGAAAGTCTTTCTTATTGTAGGGCATTGATGGTTCACACAGAAACAAAATCTATTTCAAGACAATATCTTATCAATTCACCACACATAGTTTAATTAATTGCTGATTAAAAAATAGGTGCAAATCCAAGATCATACATTTTTAGCTATAGATTCTTTTGGCTTGAAGTAATTTTAAAGATATGAGAGAAAATATGATTGTATAGTTCTGTTATAATATTAACAGCATAGACTAATTCTAAATCTTGATGTGTCTACAGAAGTACTCCTCCAAATTCTTCCTTCTCTTAACCTCTTGATTTTAGTTTGATTTAGTAGTCATCCATATCACCAGCGCAGATGGTAAGCAACGCTTTCTTATAATGTCCTGAAGCAAAATTCTGAAAAGAAAGAAAAATATAATCTATTTGAAATGAAATCTCATGAAACATCTAAAGAAATGATATAATTCTTCTGAGTTGCAGTTTGGAAGACTCATGGGCCATTAGCCTTCGTGAATCTTTTACTTTTTTTTTTTTTTTAAGTATAGAGATAATAAAACCCAACAAAACAAAATAGGACAAAACCAATCAAAACAAAGCAGTGAAATTGCTATAGAATTCCAGAGCAAGATAATAAGAAAACAACAATGGCTACCATACAATATCTTATCTTCACAATAGTTGTCCATTCCATTAAATATAACAAAATCAAACCAAAACAAAGCAGAATAAAACCAATCAAAACAGAATATTGAATAAAGCAAAACAATCAGAACAAAACAAAACAATGAGAATGGTATTGGATTTCAAAGGCCAGATAGAAGAAAATCCTCACGTTGCTATTTTGCATAGTTATCCCCACCTATAGATGCTCAGACTGCCAGTGCTAGGCCTGCACACTCAACCAAACAATACAAGCATTCAGTTGCTTTGTACCTCAGTTGCTGTCCATGCTGGAGTGGGGTGGGGGTGGGAAGTCACTGATTTTCAGCCTGCATGAAGGTAGGCTCAGGAGAGGTGTTATCTGATTTCTCTCAGGAATCTTACAGCCATATGGTCTGTATGGCTCACCAGAAAGGATGGCTAGTCCATTTGTTGGTCAGCTCCTCTCAGAAGAGAAAAGTTAGATAGCACCTCCTGAGAATCGGCCATGCTGGGACTGGGAGGAGCTGACCAATAAGCCAAATAGACAGCCTTCCTGGTGAGCCTGCAGGCCATACAGGGACCAGGGAGAGAAAAGTCAGATAGAGCCCCCCACGAACTGGCCATGCTGAATCTTTTACTGTATAACCTATTATTTTCATAAAGCTAGATAAAATTATGGAAAAATAATACCACTGTTGTAGTGAACAGTAGGAGACAACTATAAAGTTGGTGGAATTACAGTCTCTATTTATAACCACAATAACTTGGATTAAAAGGAAATCTCAAATTTAGAAAGAAGTGTCTTGTTATTATTATAAACTAGTGTAGAGTATGGAAAGACAATTGGAAGACTTTTGGGAGAACATGGTGGATAGATAACAGCAGCTACAGAGGCTGTCTGAGATAGCCAGCTTAGATTCCAGGATTGGTGTGGTGTGGGGAGTCCTAAGCAGGGGGAGATATACTCTGCCGACCCAGGAAGGAACTAAGCTGAGAGAAACCAACTGGAAATGCAATCCTGGTGCTATGACTGGAACAGCTAAAGTCTTAGTGCTGAAGCTGGAACCTGCGCCTCTGGAAACTGTGGCTTGAATTTCCTGCCGCTGCTGCTGCATCTGAATTGGCACAGCAGGGATAGAGATGTGAAAGCTCTGAGAGTGGGAATCTGTGAATCAAATTGAGAGCAGAGCTGGTGGGGAGCCCTGCATCGACCTGCAGTGAGTGAGAGGAACGTGGACCCTTCCATAGATTAGGAGGCTCCAACAGAGGACATTCTGGGACCAGGCAGACTAGCCAGAACAGGTTGCTGCAGTGACTTCAGTCACATATTCCCTTCTCAAGTGGGATTGGTGGGGAACACTTGACCTGGGTGACGCCACGGACTAAGACCCAGTAAGCTAGCCCAAACCAGGTCCCTGAACCTGACAGTGCACCCTAATGCAGTGAAGCCTTCAGCAGGTTGACTGACCTCGAGGGGCAGGCCCAGCATACGCTGCCCAGGTCTGTGTCTCCCTAGTACACTGCAGTGGGTGGGAACACCTAGCCAATGTGACAAACAAACTGTAACCGACAAAGAAAGAAACTGAGCCTCTTATATACACTTGTATGGAAGGAACAAAAAGTATGGGAAGAGGGAGCAACGAGAAAGGGTCCTCAGTCCCCAATCCTGAGAACACTGATCCAGGAAAGGTAAATGCACATGAGAATGAGGATAGAAAACATGCAATATCAGGCATGGCACCAATGGACATAAAGTGAGATCTCCGGGACTTCATAGAGGAGTTCAAAAGTGAAATATTTAACCAAGTAAAGCAAGATAAAGCAGAATAGTTAAAGAAATGCTAAGCACCTCCTCCCCCCCCCAAAAAAAAAAAACCCCAGATGGTGGAATGGAAGAACAGAAAAAAAGGGGAGAATTGTTTGATGGAGAAAATAAAGAAAATGTAGAATACATGAAGCAGGTTCAAGGAGATTAACAGGAAACTAAAAACTCTAAATCTGGCATAACAGCTTGAAAGAAACTAAGGATAGATTATCTGAACTGAAGGACAGATTTGTAATGTGGGAGCAGGAAAGGAAAAACTTAAAAATAACAAGGAAACAAGCAGTAACAATACAAAGGCTAGAAGATGATAAGAGGATCTATAACTTGAGAATAAAGAATGTAAATGAAGAACCAGGGATATAAACAAATGAACTACAAAGGCTATTTGTTGGGAGCCGCAGCCCCGAGCCCGGTCGCCTTACTTGGCGGACGTGAGGCCTGTAGGAAAGAGCAAAGCCTGAGTTAGATTACCCCTCCCATCGAGCACGTTAGTTTCCTGCTTACCGCGTAAACAACCCGCTCAATAATATGTTAGCCAATCAGCTTGCCTTGCTTACTTTAATATGATTGGACACTGTATCCGTATATATACTGGTGCCACCCCTGGGGGGAAGTAGAAGCCCGGAAGGAGCCGCGGAGAGCGGACCGGTAGAGGCTTCGGAGCGAAGCACGGAAGGAGCCGCGGGGAGCGGACCAGAGGAGGCTTCGGCTGGGAGCGATCCCAGGGCAGGCTATACGGAGAGAAAATAAAAGAAAAGGTTGTCCACTGCCAGACTTTGTCGTGTGTCCTTCCTGCCGGCCGGGAGCGACATCGACAGCTATTCACAGAAATAATCAAGGAGAACCTCTCTAATATGGAAAAAGGTAAAGATACTCAGATTTATGAGGCATACAGGACCCCAGCCACCTACAATCCCACAGAACTACACCCAGGCATATAATAATCAAAATTCCAGAAATCCAGTATAAGAACAGAATATTAAAAGCTGTCAGAGACCAGAAACAAATCACTTACAAGGGAATACCCATCAGAATTACAGCAGACTTCTCAGCACAAACTATCAAATCACAAAGAGTGTGGGGCGAAATAATTCAAGCCATGAAAGACAATAACCTCCAGCCACGATTGATATATCTTGCACAACTGTCCCTAGAAATTAATGGAGAAACAAGGTGCTTCCAGGATAAAGAGGAACTAGGAGAATTTGCAACCACCAATTCAACTCTACAGAGAATACTGCAGGATATTCTAAAAAAGAAAAATACCAAGATTCCAGAAACAGTGGCAGAGGGGCCACAATGAATGGAGCAGAAAGCAAACTGAAGAAGACAAACTGACAACTAATGACAGAAAAAGAGTTCAATAGAAATGAGGCAGAGAAGGTTGGATGATATGAACAGCTATTTTGGAGAAAACAAGACATAATGATAGCTAGTGCTGATTTAACATCATCTTGTTGTGAAGTCCCATCAAGCTTTTGTTCTTTTGTCTCGATTGGTCTTAACATGTATCTTATTGGATTTTATTATATGTGATAATATAAACAAAAACTTTTATAGACAAGGAGATAATACAGAAACCATTGTTCATTTTCTATTAGTAGGTTCTAAATACCCTGTAATACTGTCATTCTCTTGAATGGTTTTACATTGTCTTGATAATGTTTGATGTTACAGTATACAAAGTTGTACTCAAAGATTTCAAGGAAAGAGACACTATGGTAACTACTTTCATATCGTGATATCTTGTGGTGAAATACTATGTTGCTTACATGGTTATGTTCTGACCTGTGCTATTTTGTTATTATGTCCTCTTTTATCTCAATCTCATTTTTTATTTTTATCTTTTTAATTAATTGAAAAAATAAATAAAAATAGCAGGATATATTATAGTAACCCACTTTGATTTCCTGTTAACTTGATTTGAAACCCTGTATTGCTCTCACCATCTTGTTTCGACTGATCTTACTCTATTCTGTTTTGCTTGATATTACCAAGTTTGAGAGTATAGGCAACAACTGTGAAGACAGTAAGATTCACTATGGTGCCCATTCTGGTGTGACTATTATCTTCTTTTGAAGTCCTGTGATGTCTCCAATGTTTTGGTTTTATTGGTTTTGTTCTTTACTTTTTTGTTCAATTTTATTATAACTGATGATATAGGCAATTATTTTCAAGATAGCAAGAGGCATATGGTAACCATTGTTGATTATCTTGTATTCTGTTTTTACATTATGTACTATATCCATTCTTTTGATTTGACTGACTCTGTTTTGTTATGTCACCTTTGGTTTTATTCTCTTCAAAAAAAAGTAATTAGAACTGTGGGAGTAATAAAACCCAGAATGTGTAATTGTCATTGTAAAAAAGAGAGGAAAAGAAAGTGCTCTAAAGGATATAACTGCATGCATATTTAAGCGTGTAAGATAACCATATTACTGAGTTTTTGCTGGATCATTGAACATAATTGTTTGTAGTCTCAGTGTTCAAATGTCCACTTCATATGTTTTAATTTTGTAACCTGAACAACTATTTCTAAGATGACAATATATAATCTATTAACTAGTGATTTCCTACTGTTTTTTTGAAATTCTGTATAACTTGTACCCTTTTTCTGTTTTTTTCTTTTTCTCCTTAAATAAAATAAAAAAAGACAATTGACAATGTGCCTCAAAAGCTTTAAACATATCTATACTCATTAATGTAGTAACTCTACCCAATACATTTTATGGAGGTACTATCATTTATTGATGAGTACAGAGATTTATGATACATATCTAATATATCTCATAATATATATTTATCAAATAGGTAGCTCATAATGGTATATATGACCATGAAAAGCTGAAATCAATGCTTAATAATGCATGATAGTTTTTATTTTACATTTTATATAGTAGGATGCCATTATTCAATAAAATATTCCTTTAAATTCACAAACTATCAAGATATATTTATAAAAAAAGTCAAAAGCACCTGGTCTGGTTTACTCAGGCTATTATAGCAAACTGACCCTAGTAGAACCTACCACAAAATCTCATGACTGATTTACTTGGAGTAAAAAATTAGGGCAACTTTTGTTTTCTTTTTATGCTATTTCATAGTTTCTAAATTGCTCAAATGCCACCATCTTAAAAATCTTTGTAACTTTGAAAAAGAACTGATAACTTTTTCCATGGAACACCCTAAAATACACCCCTGGTTCTATATAGTTGCTGGATTTTTTAAAAATCCAGGACAACGTGTAGAAGTATCTGATCGACAATTGGCTTATTTATTCCTGAGTTATTGTTTCTTTACTCTCTAAAAGATGAAGGGAAAAGACTTGGCAGAGTTTTATAGAACCAGGAAGGTTAAGTTCCTCCACGTTAACAGTTGGTGGTAGTGGATGTAGCTTGCCTTCTGTGAAGAATATGGGAGTTAAACTATTAGAATCCTCTCCACACTAATGTGATCTTGCTATAAAGTATTTTTCTTGATCCTGATCATACATCCGTATTTTGATCTTAAAGCACAATTATAAGCAATAAATATTTTACACGATGACATCAACCATCTTGCCTAAAACAAAGAAAAAAACTCTTGTCATTGGGCTGATGGGACCTTCTCAGTTCGCACCTGCTGATGCATTGGAGGCTGTCTGAAGGAGTCGATCATGCTTGTCATGATACCTAAAATCCGAATTCTAAAACAAAGCTAGCTGGATTAAGGCTTCTCTCAGAATCTCAGAACGATAAGATGCAGGTCCAGTCACTCACACGGGAAAACTTACTTGGATATCGTGAAACAGGGACTTCCCGTATCTCTCTTTGTAGCGTTTCCTAATGGTCAGCAGATCGATTTCACTTCTGGCAATGAGAATCCTGATTACTGTTTTATTGTGGAAACCAAAGTCCTAAAAAACACAGGAAAGGGAGAAAAATGAGAAAACAATACTTTAAATCAGCCCGCCTGAACGCACTCCTTTTTCTGGGGTGACTTCCCCCCTGCAGTCCACAGGCCGCCGTGGAGTCTCTCTGTTGCTTCTGGTGAACTCGCACTCTCTTCTCGCTTGAATTCCAGGGTCCAGGCTTTGACCTTGGTCTTTATTATTTAATCCCAGCTTTCTTTTCCAGCCTCAACAACCTTCATGAAAGTTTACAGATCTGATCATGGGGTCATTCTAAGTAAACCTGAACTCAGGTACAGAGTATGTCTGAGTATGACAGCAATTACACTTTCATTATGTTTTGTAATCTTTATTGAAGAGTTATTAAAATGTGCTTAAAAATATTTGCGAGTTCAATGCAACTATTAGTTACAAAAGCAAGTGTGTGTGTGTGCGTGTGTGTGTGTGTGTGTGTGTGTGTGTGTGTGTGTGTTTCTAGCCTCAGAAAAGTTGCCTGAACAGGGGTAGCAAATATCTTGTCAAATGGCGCCATCTGCTGGCAATTCCTCAGAACTAATTTTGGACGTCAACTTTTTACAAGTAGGTCTAACAATTTTTTCTTCTTAATGCTAGGTGGTAAAACTAACGAGCTAGCCAAGTTTCCGATTTTAAACTGTAGATAATTTGGAGGAAAACATAATGAGTTTTTTTGTTATGGATGGTGAAAAAGTTCTTTGGCAAATATTTAACGTTCAAGGTTCTCATATCTAAAAATATTGTTTACTTATACACACGAACTATTTGTAAACTCACGTACTTTCTCGCAACACCCCAAGAATACGGTTTAAATTATCAGGATAAGTAATCCTGAGCTTGGGAATAGTTGGAATCAGGGTAACTGCAGTTATTTTCCCATGCTCTTCAAAAGTGAAGCTTTATTTTTTATTGTAGTGGTTGGTGCTTTGGAGAAAGAAACTGTTGGAATCATGTGATACCTTTACCTAATACGTTATTTCAAATAAATCAATTTTTATTGAAATCCACCTTTTCTCCTTGGAAATAAAATAAAGACAGAGAATTATAAGCCTCAATCATCCTCTGCTGTGTTGATGTTACATAAGCTTTTATGCAAAGTTAAAACATTTTTTTAAATTTCTGAGACAGGGTCTCATTATGTAAAGCAGGCTGTCCAGCTTACATATCCCAGACTGGCCTCAAAATCAAGGCAATCCTCCCACGTCAGCCTCCTGAGCGCTGGGATTGCAGGTGTGCACCAACAGACTTTATATTTAAAATAATATATTCTTGATTATTAGCATATTTCCTTGTATTCTGGCTACTTTCAAGAAGGTGGTTTGCAAAATTACTTTGAAGATAAAATACTCTGAGTATTAAAATTATTGAAATATTCAATAATTTCATTTAAATTTTCAAGGCTCTGGCATGTATAATGCCCTAATAAAGATATTTTCTTTTACAAAAATATTTCATGCACATTATGGGTAAAATGTAAATTATCTGTACAAGGTAAGTGTTTGTTTCTTTAAAAATGATTGCTGGAAAGGGTGTACAATTAAATATCACACTAAAGCATGAAAAATATTCTCAATTACAAAAATAGCTTAGAGTTTAGTGTTGTCTATTTCAGTACTTCTTGAAAAATAACACTTTGTCTAAAATAACCACTAACATTATTTTGTATTTTTAAACTTTAAAAATGTAGCGTTTGTTTTCTTCTTTTTTGCTGAGTGCAATATTTTGATATTTTTGATATTTTCTGCTTGAATCCACATGGCGTGTGCTTGCACACATATGCTATGAGAGCCTCAGGAAATACACAAAAGCATTTAGACTGGCCTGTTTTTGTAATTGCTAAGAGGTTTTAAAGGACATTAAGAAGACAGAATCAAGAGAATCATCTTCTTAGGTTTCTAAATTTGATAAAGAAAGCATAGATTAATTTTATTTGATGGCCTTACTTTTAGTGTATAACAATTTTTTTCTGTTGGGCGTTATTTTCTTTGAAATGTGTATATAAATATACAGATTCAAAAATGAGAGATAATCTTTAAGTAAATGAAGCAAAATCAGTTCTTTGAGAAAATAGACATGTTTTTTGAAGAAATTTTACAAGTTTGTGGGTTTTACTTACATGAATTGCAGTATACAGTTTGTAAGCAAAATAGGCTGGTTTGTCTCGAACACAGAGAACTAGGGGAAATCAGAGAGAAAAGAAACTTGAATGAGAAGATACAATAGATTTTCAGAATTTGGGAGATAGCAGAACACTTTATAAAAAATAGTATTCACATTATTGTTTCAGTACTTAGAAAAATGGTAATTCTATGGCCTATCAAAAAGTTAAAACTAAAATATTTTATGATTCATTTTTCATTTTATCTAGTCCCTATCTCTTAGAGCTCTGTTAGTTTCTTTGCATTATCTTATTTTCTTTATCTGAAGATTAAATAGTGCTTTGAGGAAACCTACATTAGCATCTGCTGCTTAATTATTATAGAACTTAATGTAACCAGATCACATAGGATTTGTTCCTCTTGCTAAATGCCATCCATTCAGATGATTTGTAAAACAGTTTCTCCTTAAAAGGCTTCAGATTTCTCATAGATTTCGATCAAACCTAAGTCTCCTAAGGATAAATCATCTAGATCAGTTTTAGATGTCAGCTAGTCAAAATCCACATGGCTTTGAATAGACTAGACCCTAGAGCTGGGCCAGCACCTTTCCTTGAGGTAAGACAGTTGTTGATTGCTGACATTCAATGGTGCTTGTATTGTAGCAGAAAAGGCCACCCCAGTCCTGCTCCCCTTCCTGCTGGCTTTTTTTTTTTCTTGTCTTAAACTTCAAGAGAGCAGAACCATTGATCAAACACTTGACCGAGATGAGATGAGCCCAGAACACAATGGACACCCCTAGATCATGTGGACTTCCTCACTCCCTTGCAGAGTGATGCTACAGAACAGACAGGTCTAGAGTCTAGCTGGGCCTTGTCTCAGATCACATGTAACATGCCAAACAAAGACTTGCAAGGGAAACTAGAAGAGGGAAAATGTAGCAGAAAATGCACCCCCAGCCAGCAGACTTTGGTTTCTTAGTTGCTCAGGTAATAGTTCCTTTTCAATCAAGTCGCTTCTGTCTCTTAGAAATGGCTGGTCACTGTGGGCCATAGCTGGTCACTCTGATGCACACTGCATAAAGTAGTCCCCAGACAATGACAAGGTGTTCTCCGTGCTTCCAGCTTGCCTAGCTCATATAAGTCCTGTGGGATCAGGGCCTGATAGTCTGGGAATGATCCTGATCAGTGACTTTCGATGTAGATAAATCTGCCTCCAAATTCTGAGTGTCCTTTCAGTGTTTCTGCTTACTGTTGCAATTTGAGTAAGTAAATATTACTCTATGAATGAGTAATATATGAGATGCAGTAATATCTAGGCAAAATAAGATAATCATAACAGTGAGTTCTTTGTATTTCAAGTGATTATTTAAGAGTGTCAGATCATGTGCTCATCTTTTTTTCATTTTTAGTACAAAGAGAAGTGAACCTGACAATCTCTTTTAAGTCAACACGAAAGGTAAGATCCTTGAGGAAGGAAATTTTGTTGTTTTGTTTTCATTATTTTGTAGTTCCATCTGTAGTATTTAAATTAATGACCACAATAGTTGTTGGGAGCCGCGGCCGACACCGGTCGCCTTACTTGGCGGACGTAGGGCCTGTGGGTGGGAGCGGAGCCTGAGCTAGATTGCCCCTCCCATCGAGTGAGTCAAGTTGGCGCCTGCTTCCTGCCCCCTGATTGCGCTGGCGACTTAAACAACCCGCTCTGTAAGATAGTCTGCCTAGCAACAACTGATGTTAGCCAATCAGCCCGCATCGCGCGCTTTGAACTGATTGGCCACTGTCACCCTATAAAAGTGAATGCCTCTCCCGCCACGAGACAGGAAGCACAGAGAGAGATAGAGAAAGTCCACCGGCGAGAAAGGGCTGGTGGCAGAGAGGAGGCCTCGCGGGGCCCACGCGGAGACAAATAAAGGCAAGGTTGCACACCGCCAGACTTTGTCGTGTGTCTTTCCTGCCGGCCGGGAGCGACCCCGACAAATAGTAAGTGCCCAATAAATGTTTATTGACTGACTAAATTAGCCAGGTAAGCTGTTTCTTGATACTTTTTATTTTTACTATTTCTTTTCTTATGCTTTTATTTTGTGGCAATAGTCTACAAGGGAAAATGAGGTATCTTGAGACTCAGATGAAAAGTTCTATTCATAACTTCGTTGCTACTCAGAGAATAAACATCCAAGAAGTCATCTGACCTCTTTAGGTACTGTTTGTAAAATGAAATTTTTTTAAATGTACTATATAGTCACAAAATTTTATTGAGAATTTATTGAGAATGTATCCACCTTATTTTTAGAAAAATGCAGGCATAAACTATTCACCTTACATACTATTTTAGGTGGTTCATAGAACCCATCAAACCATCTTAAACCCCAGAACTTCTTGACTGGGTAAACTACAAAAATTCTAATAGCTCTCAGCTCCCATGTGTGTATGTGTATGTATGCCATTGTAGGAAGGGAAAAAAATCACAGCTTTCATTTCTTCAAGGACCTAAGTGATTACTTATGCATACCTGCTGTGGGGATATTCTACTACAATGGCTCCACATTTATATCCCTGAAGTGCATGATCCCACGCCACAGTGCCTTACAAGGCAAAGCATGAATAGATCCTTGGTAGGTTTTATAAATAACTACCAAGTATTTCTCTCTGTGGGGAGATCTTTTCTCACGTAGGGAGGAGGGAGGTGTGCCTCCCTCACAGTATCAGGCAGAAAGTGCAAGTAACAATGTGGTATCTCTTTAATGATACGATTTACTCTTAGAGACAAATTTATTAATGGTAGTGACAACAACAATAAAAGCAAAATAAAACCACCTCCCAAACAAAAAACCGAGAATTCTCTTCCTAGTCTGAAAGTTGAACTAGCTATTAGCAAAGGTTGCCAGCTCATGAAAGCCACCAGATGGCCAATGTAATGCATTTTATCAGAAGCTGGTATACTTTTCTTCCATAGTTTGCAACCCACTCTGAATACAGAGGAGAACGACTCCATTCAGAGCACTGATGGCGTGATGGCAGATCTGCCTCACACCACGGTTGGTACTTACCAATGGCGACCAGCAGCTCCTGAAAGTACCCGTCATAGCAGTCATTGATGGCATCAACCAGGTCTTGTCCAGAAATATTTTGAAATTGCTGGAAAACTTCAATGAATTGATGTCAATCAAAGGACATTTGTAAATAGTACAAACTTAAGATACAAATATCAATTAGATTGTTATATGTAGCAAAGAGCGTTTAAAATAATCAAAAATACTGCTATTATTTGTATTGCTGTATCTGTTCTTTTAAACAAATTCAAAAGACAAACACTCCAGGTTAGCAAAGGTGGCATAAATCTTGGATTTCGAGGACCTGCTGTTTTATAGCAAATTAGAAGCAAGGTGTCTTATTATTATGGTAATTATTATCATCATCTCTAATTGATTAGGGTAGGCCATCTTTTAAAATCTTTTATAGAATTTTGCATTTTATATTTAAGAATATTTTAATAAGGGAAACAGTTACAGTGCTTTGGAGACAGTCAAACCAAGCACATCCTATATAAATGTTTTTCTAAAGCCAATATGACTCTACTGATACCATATAAATCAGGTTGGTAAGAATGACCATGACTCATTATGGTCTGATTCAATAAAGCTCTCTAGACACTATTCAAGACACAGAAAATCTACCTAATAGCAAATAGCTAATATGTCCCTGAAACAGTGATTTTTTTCAAACTTTCAGTATTTTAAATTTATACAACTCAATTACTAGAAAAATAAAACCATAGAACAAACTTTATTCTTTAGTAATGCCATTCAATGAGGACAGTCTTTTAGAACATAATTCAATCTGAGTGTTTTGGAGATAACTGACTTTCCTTGGTTTCTGTGTTATATTTTCTTTTTTTTTTCTCTAATTAACTAATTGCTTTTTGCTATCTGCTATCTGCTAACTTTCAGTAGAGTAGCTGAAAATTACCCAGCCAGAGCTGCTGGTAGCTCTTGTTGCACAGGATCATCTGTAGCATGGTCTTGTGTTCACCCGTCTTCCGCTGGCAGGCTTCCCACAGGACCTAGAACAGTGGGGATCCAGGAAGGAGTGTCAGAATCATTCCGGTCACTTGAACCAAAGTCCTGACAGTCAGTAGGAAGTGGATTCCACTTACCATTGCATCCTGGGCAGCCATAGCAGGGTCACTGTATCCTTCCTGCCTGCTTCCCTGCAAAACAAACATATGTTTCCTCATGGGTAGTCTTGATAACCTACATTAAATTATTGGAACAAAAATCTCAGAACCACTAAACACTCTGATCATTTTTGAGAGACTTTAATCGTTATTTGGAATAAGAGTTTCCATTTCTTGAATATATTATATGGAGTTTTCTGTTATGGGGCTTATCTTACTTCTTTTTCTTTACAACAGTGTTGATCTTTGAAATGCATTTTTGTATGTTATGACTTGTGTCTAGATGTCCCCCACTCCCAGAGACTCATTCAGGAGTAGGTAGGGCTTTTCAGAGGAGGCTGGAACCAGAGTTGAGATGCTGGGATTAAATGTGTAATGCTGCCATTAAGGGTGTGTGATTGCTAAATTAGTGTACTGACTAGTTTGGCATAGTGATGGCTGTGGATAACAGGAAGGTCTTCCTTGGGTATGAGTGCTACTGATAGAATATAAAAGGGAGGAAAGAATGTGTCTTTTGTTGCTCGCTGCTTTTGCAGCTTTCTGTTTGCCATGAACTATTTTTTCTCCTCCTCTGCCATGCTGCCCTGCCTTGAAGCCAGCTGATTATGGACTGAAATGTCTCCAATTGTGAGCTACAATCAACTTTTCCTCCTTTAACTGTGGGTGTCAGCACAGAGAAACATAACTAAGACAAGGTGCTTTCTACCTTTCCAGTTTTCTATGCAGTATCTTCTCCCTTGTCAGACTAAACACCCCCTGCCTGGAAGTGGGTAGAATTCAACACTGTTAGAAAGAAAAGGCAAAGAGAAAAAGTGTCTGACTCAGAAGTTAGGATTTATTTATGCAATGGCAAAATAATAGAGAACTCCAGATTTTGTGGATTAGAATATTTTGAAAATCTGTTCTAACTCTGCGTATTTACCACATAAAGAACAGGCATAGCCTAGGCAACCATTTCAGGCAAAGGGAAGGAGCGTTCACCAGTGCAAGACTCAACTGAGCCCTGAGAATTATTTGAGTACGACAAGAAAGACAGCGGGCAAGTATGTGATGAGAGTTTATTTTGTTTCTCCTTTTGAGTCAAAGTATGGAAGGGAGAACTTTTTTGAAGTTATTCTCAGAGAACACGGAGGCTACCCTAGCTTCTGCTCCTTTTCTTGTCTAGGACTCTGAAACTGACTACACCGCTGTCATTGCAGTGAGATTCCACAATGCAGCAGAGAGATGTCTTGAATTAAACACTCTTGATTTACTGTGTTCTCAATCCAAAGTAGGCAAATGAGTCCCTGATATTTTTCACACGCTTCTGATCAAGGAACTTGCACTTTGCTTGAAAAACTGGTGGGGAAGCTTGCCAGATGGACCTGTTTATAATCAAGGCATGGAGAGAGGAGCTCAGTAGTCAAGAGGAGGCTAGCGCCATTGGCTAGAACTGTGTAGGAGACATAATTAGATTTTCCGGGATTGCTCACCTCTGGTGAAGAGAAGGGAGACTGAGTCACCATGAAGAGTGACTTGGCTCTAAGTGGAGACAGATAGCATTGCACATCATGGCAGCTAACACTGGAATGTTTGTACCCTGGATTTCTTATGTATTATGTACCACTTTCCTAAAGGCAAGACATCACATGAACCACACATAATTCTGTACAACAAATGCCCTTTTGAATAGAAAGGGAGTGACCAGAACATTGACTACTGAGTACTTAATAAAAGAATAAAACTTAACAAAAGTATAAAATTGAACATGTTCACAGTTCAAAGTATTGTATGGACTAAATTGGCTACTTTCACATTAAATATTAGGTATTTTCTTTTGTTTCTAACCAATAGCTGGAGGCATTTGAGAAAGTTCAACTTATTCACAGAAACACATAAACTACATTTTCTTGGCAGTAAATTTGTAGTCCTGGAAATTTTTTTGTGTGTTTAATCAAAACTCAGAATTTGCATATCACCTGAAGATGAACAGCTGGTGGTAAATAGAAATGATCTGGGCAGACACATTCATTCTGCTTCATTTCTTTCACCAATTCTTATTTCAAAGCTGTGTGTTTTATACGACATGGGTATTTTACATTTATGCAGACAAGTATTAGAAGGCTATATTTTAAAAAAATGGAAGTGGTTTTATTAGAGGTAGATTATGTTCGTTGTTTTATCTTTAAATCATGAAAATGTTGAGATACAGAAGGCCTGGGGCTCATCGGGTCCCTCCCTTCTTTATTTGAGGATATAAAAAGAAATGGATCTAGGGCTATGAAGTGCATCGCTCAGGGTTTAATTGCAAGAGAGGAATAATTATGGGACTGCAGGGGCTGTGTCAGCTGTGAAATCTGATTACCATACTTGAACTCATTCTTTTCACATGATCTCCTCTGGCCTCTTTTCAAATTCTCTTTAAAGGTTTTACTTCCAGGGATATTCTCTCTCTCTCTCTCTCTCTCTCTCTCTCTCTCTCTCTCTCTCTCTCTCTCTCTGTTTCTTTATGTTTCATTGTAAATTTCTCAGTCCTGTGAAATTATTTCACTTCTTTTCAATGTCTTCATTTTTGGAAGGTCCCTTTTTGGTGGGCTGTACAGGTTGCCAGTTTGTCTATGTTTACAGCTCCTTCCTTCTCCTGATAATATTCTCTATTTATGTGGCTCTAAATTCTTTCATATTGTCCTGACACCTATATTTATACCTGTAGCTAAAATCTATAGCCTGAATTTCAAAGGAATATATTCCAGTTACCAGCTCAGTAGCACCACATGATTCTCTTGTATACTGTATATGGATTCTAGCAGGTTGAAAAATCCAACTCCGGGTCTCCCTCTATTTCAGTAACATCCTACATACTGTTCTCCACATCTTAAGCTTTTCACTATTGTACGCTGGTTTTCTCAGTCTGAGAAACTCAGAGTCACTTTTGATTCTTTTTCTTTTCATTCCTTATATCTAATTCCTCCAGAAATAGCTCATGTTCAAAACACAGCCAGAATCTGGGAGTTTTTTGCCATACTGATGCTCTTCTGGGCCGGGGTGATCATCTCATTTTAGCTTTGTTGCTAACAAAGCTCCTTAACAGGCTTCTGTCTCTCCTCAGCTCCCTGCAATCTTTTCTCAATACAGCATTTGCTGTGAATATTTTTAAACCATAGCATTACTTCATCCTTTTGCTCAAAACTCAGTAAAATCATAGCTTTCCCTTATTTCATTCAAATAAAAGCCAAGGTCTTTACACATGCTATAGAGCTAGACGTAATCTCATCACTTGTTATGTCTTTGACCCCATCTAAGCATCTACTTACCAAGTACATTTCCTTTGCTTACTCAGACAACACCGGCTGGCCTCTTTGCTATTACAGATGTTCATTAGCTATTTTTTTGCCTTAGACTTTTTCTCTAGCTATAAATTTTGCTGGGCATATATTAGTCCATCTATTCATTTGTGGATTTACTGTTTTCTTCATATCTTTGCTCAAATCTCAGGGAGACCTGCTCTGACCAAACTACATAAAACTGCAATACTCTGCTGGGTCATCAATTCCTATCTCCTATACTCTACTCATTGATATTTTTATCGACTTCTAAAATTCTCTTTAATGTACCTGTTTATTAGGGTTATGTTTAATTGTTCATATCATCTTGTTAGATATAAATTTCATAAGGCCTGAGATCTTTGTTTCTTTTTTCCACTGGTAATTTGTAATTGTCTAAAATCATGCTTGGCATTTTAGTTTTGGAAAAGAGAAAAATAACTTCTAGGTAGCAGATTTTGAAGATCAGAGTTAGTAGATGGGGAAGACTTTCTTGGTCACTGATACTTTCTTAGTGATCTGTTAGAGATCTAACTGTATAGCTAAGTAATTTGCTGTCAGCCTATTGCCAAGAGAAGACCTGTGGGATGATGTGTCGATGAACAAGTTTCCTTAGTTATATAAAGAGAAAAGGGAGAGCAGCAAGGTGTCTAAAGTTGATGCCAATGCCAAATAAATGGCATAAGTGAGTACAGGATTTGAACAACATCAACATTTGAAGAAATTATGAGAACTAAAATTTGGTTGAAAACATTTGATTCAATAAACACAGCACAGACCATAACTGAAAATTGTTGGTGAGTTAGGGAACGTGTCCTCAGCAGAGTCCTGAAGGCTAAGGGAGGACTAGCAATCGGTTGGGTAGTCTCTACTCTTTCTCTCCGGGAAACATTTATTATCCTAGTGTAATTTTCATATATTGATTAATTAATCTCCAATGCTTACTTTTTCATTATTTGACAGATAGTCAGATCTTCTGTAAATCTGTTACCAAAAAAAAAAAAAAAGCATGCAGGAAGTGTTTTGAGCCAGCTTAATAACTGGCATACGTTTCAAGAATAACAGGTTCCATCTCAGTTTGTTTTCTTATTAGAAACAGTTTTGTCAGAAAACTGTTTTGATTAAGTAAAGGATCTCCCCTCCCAGAAAATATGACTATGATTTTCAACACTTTCTATTTCTTTAACACCTTTTAAAGCTTCTTTGGATTCCTTCAAACTTCCTTAACTCACAAAAAAGGGTGTGTCTGAGTTTTAATGATGTTAATAAGATGCAAATCACAAATCACCTTTGATTGTGAACTTAAAGATGGACAAGGAATCAATGAATGTATGTATCATGAAGCAATTGAAAACAGAATGAATTTATATCTCTTAATTCATACAGCAAAACCCTGAATCCCAGAAAGACTGAATGATGAATTTGAGGACATAAAACTGCCCTACACAGAACCAAAAGAAGAGAAAATTGTCTCTCTCAGATATATGAGAACATACGGAATCCAGCAGCGGGTGGGAGAGATTTGGTTACACAGGAGTCCCCAACAGTTATCTGATTGGAATTTATCAGTTCAAAATTTCCCAATTCTTTAACAAGAAATTCCATTTTTAGTAAGATATCTAGACAGACACTTGGAATGTTGTACATTACAGACAGTGAATAAGAGAAGTGATTGATGTTTCCAGATCCCTAATTTTCTTTATGCTATTTTTTTAATCTTTTAAATTCACT